ACGCTTCTATCTTGTGCGTTCATACAATAAGTAAACGGTATACAGACACGTTACAATTTTTTTTAACATCACATACAGTACAAAGTAGTGCAAAGTAAAATATAATCCACCGGCACTGCCGCTCACAACCACGCTTCAGTTCCATGAAAGTTTTATTTCTTAAGCACGTCCTACAAAGCCTTCCCTTCTCCCAGCAATAAGACGAAAACACAGAAAAGGGCTTATTAAGTGATCATGTTAAATCCGATTTTGGAGCAGAACAGAAAATAACCTGGCAACTTCAGTTAGGCTTGGCTTAACTTCATTAGTCCTGGTAACCCGATCAGTGCTCAATGTCCCCAGCTCCCGAAACCGATTTCCTGTTTGTAGCGGTTAGTTAGAGTGTTCGCTTTTCTAGTCAGTTTTGACAGAACAGTATATAACCCATTGAGATGATAGTGGAATTGTTTCTGCAAGTCTTCCTCTCCTTCCGCCTCGTCCACTCTAAGGTCCATGGTGGCGGCTTTATCTTTCTTCCTATCGTCCAGTTGCACCACACCCCACTCTATATCGTTCTTGATGGACTTCAGCAAGACATAGTAGTTATACATGTCCCGCTTATCCGAGTAGTAGTTTGACGCTCCGGTGCTGGAGACGCCGTTGACTTCGCTCTTGCCTTCATCTTCCAGAGGGACATCCCGCAAGAGACTGGGCACCATGACTGTCTGGTCCATGTTATTGACCGCACCAATAAACTTGTTCATGGCATTGAACAGGGAGTGCTTCTGGTTATAAGTATCCATAATTTGCATCATCTTGCTTGACGTGGTATTTCGCCCTTCCCGGATGGAATCCCTTCGGCTGGAGCTCTGCAGCAACTTTCCTCCCGCAGTGGCAACCTGCACTTCACACTGCAAACCGGTTCGCTTCCTCAGCGGGCTTATAAAGGTGTTGCTTGGCAGCGGGTTTTTTTTTCACGTTGCAAAGCAAGATGGAACCTATCGTAAGATGACTCGGACGTCAGGCACTGACCCAAATCTAACAAGCACCTCCCTTTCTTGTTTCCGGGTGGTTCCGCTGCTTTCATGCTCCCATTCCCATTGAGTGAATGAGCAGTGCCGAGCAGACCACACCGTGCGTTCGTGCGCGCGCGCGCTCCAGGGCACGCCCCATCACCAGGCAACAAATCAGGATGCCGCCGCTGTCGTGACGTCTGCACTCACCCTCCCGGAGCCGACCAATGGCGGCGCGGGCCCTCTGTGAGGTCAATATGCTAATAACTGGAAATGTCGCCAAGGGCCCCGGGCCAGAGACGTCACTGGAAACCCTGGCGACAGGGTGCGCTCTCATTTTGATTGACAAGGACAGCTTATGAATGTGGGTTGGTATAGTTTCAGCTAGTCCTGTGGGGGGTGGGTGAGGGTGTTGCTGTTCCTGTTCTAGCTAGTGCTGTGGGGGTGGGTGAGGGTGTTGCTGCTTCAGCTAGTGCTGTGGGGGTGGGTGAGGGTCAGGGTGCTGCTCCTCCAGCTAGTGTTGGGGGGTGAGAAAAGTGAGGATTTTGCTGCTCCATCTAGTGCTGTGGGGGATGAAGTGAGGATTTTGCTGCTGCTACTAGCTTAGGGTGGTGGAGGTGGTACTGTTGCTGGAGGTATTTGTCATTGCTACCTTAAGCCAGCAACAGAAGCACATGCTGTAGACGGAAGTGCTGCTGCTATATCTGGTGATACACCTTCTGCACTAGTGGAGGTTGTGCAGCTTTGATGGAGATGGGGTATTTGTCTACTATTGGTTTAAAATGCTAGTACCAGTGGCGTACCAGTGCTGGAAATGATGGTATTGCTGCCACTGGAAGAGGTGCCATTGGTGGAGGTAGTGACTCTGGTGCCACTGGTTAAGGTACCACAGATGTTGAATGTTTGGTGGTGATTGTAGCAGTGGTGGTGGAGGTATTGATGGTTTTGCTGCTTTTAGATATTGTGGACCTGCTGGTGATGGTGATGACCTGTACAGGCACAGAAATCATGTACCCCTGGTAATGCTCCTGTCCATGAACAGCAGGCTCCCTAGAGTTCCATGCACTGGTAATTTGGAACTAATGTATTCTCCGTCCCAGGCCTGGGGGATGTTGTTAGCTGCCAAACTTAGGATGTTTCAACCACTAGATTATCAATGCTGATTAATATCATACTGACATTTTTTGTGCAATTTTGTCATAATTTTATGCATTGTCTTCAAACTTTTCAATGAAGGTTGAAGTGTTCAATATGGAAGGAGGAGAACACTGAATGTATAGCATGAACTGAATGTTGTTCTGCCCAGATTTCACAGGTTTTATATTATTAAAACTATGCATTCACAGTAGAAAGGCAATCTCCTAACATGGTCTAGTTTTGTATTGTCAATATGAATCAACATATTTTCAACCATTAAAGTTCACAAAAGGTTAGTGGGAGGAAGTTTAGCTTTTGCTCTTGGTTGAAGTATGTCCCTAACTCCTAGTCGGTTGTCAGGAGTTTTCTTTCATTTATTTTTAAACCTTTAACTTCAGCTTGCTTTTTCACTGTGTCATCTGTGTTCTGTTGGCACTACTCTCACTTCTGAAATCAGAAGAATATGAACGTAAGTCTCACTCGCTGGTCTTGAACGCACAATCTTGACTTACACTTCAGTGCAGTACTGAGGTCAATTGTTGCATTGCCAGAGATTGGGTGCCCAAAGGTTTGCTTTTCTACTGGATGCTCTAGGTTTCAGTTGTTCTGGCCACTGATACCAGATGACTTCACAGATGGTATTTTGATCTTCAGTTCACTAAGTAATATAACAGTAAGGGGTCCTTTTCGTATCTGCAGCAGCCTTTTAGCTTTTGCATTTTCCTACATTACAGCAGAGATTATGCTTCAGAGGTATGTATTGGCTGTAACACACTCTGGCTTGGAAAATAGGAATAGGTCATTCAGCCCTTCAAGCCTGCTCCAGTGTTCAACGTGATTATGATCATGGCTGATCCTTTATCATAACATCATAGCCCTGCTCTCACCTATACCCTTCACATTTTTAACCTTCAGAAACCTACACATTTGTTACATATATATTCAGTGACTTGGCCCTCAAGCCTTCTGTGGTAGAGAATTCCACAGGTTCATCACCCTCTGAGTGAAGAACTTACTGTTCATGTTAGTTTTGAAAATGGCTGACCACATATCCTGAGCCTGTGGCCCCTTGTTCTGGACACGCATGTGTATACACACACAAACACAACTAGTTATGTTTGTCGAAAATCACCAGTTTTGCTGAGCACAATTTCTCTTTTATTGTTCATTCTGTGTAATCCCATTCGATATTTTCTAAGTGTCCTGGTATCACATCATTTATAATGGACTCCAGCATATTATCTATGATTGTTAGGCTAACTTGTCTGTAGTTCCGTTTTCTTCCCTACTTTTTAAAATATAATGCATCCTCCAATCTGTCCTATCTGCTGCTCGTTCTTGTCTATTCTAATTTTCATTGTTGCTTTCTGCTTTTCTATATTTCACTTCAATCTTTGTTTTTCTCACTGTCATCTCCCTGTACATGTCCTAACTTTGAGTTTCTGTTTCGTAATTTATTTCCTAGCCCTATATTTCTGATTGCAAGAACTCCTCCCTCTTCTTACCTATATTGTTGGCACTGACATGGAACACAACCTCTGGCTGTTCTCCTTCCATCTTCAGAATGTCCTGCAGTCACTCAGCAATGTCCATCATCCTGGCACTTGGGAGGCAACATATTATCCTGGTATCCCACCTGTAGCCCAGAAATATCTGTCTGCTCCCCTTACAATAGAGTCTCCTATCACTTTCCCACTCTTTCCCACCCCCTCCAAGCTGAGCCACTCCTGGTGCCACAGATGTGGCCCTTGCAGCATTCCTCGGAGAAGCCAAATGCCCCAAGGGATTCCTATTAAACCTCCCTGGTGCTTTTACTCTGTCAGGTCCCATTCCCTTTGTGTATTTGCACTCTCTACCTGTGGTGTGACCACCTTGCGGAATGTGCTAGTTACAAAGATTTTAGCCTTGTGGATACTCCACTAACTCCAGCTGCTGCTCCACATCTGAAACACAGATTTCCAGCAGCTACAAGTGGATTCACTTGCTGCACACATGGCATCAAGGAACTTTACACCTAACCATGCTGCTATGCCACAACTTACCCTTAAAATACTCTCTTTCTGTTTACTTCATTGAGTCATAGTCATACAGCATGGAAACAGACCCTTCAGTCCAATGCGTCCATGCTGACCAAGTTTCCCAAACTAAACTAGCCCCATTTGTCTGCGACAACAAGGTGCAGGGCTGGATGAACACAGCAGGCCAAGCAGCATCATAGGAGCAGAAAGGCTGACGTTTCGGGCCTAGACCCTTCATCAGAAAAGGGGGAGGGGAAGGAGGTTCTGAAATAAATAGGGAGAGAGTGGGAGGCGGATAGAAGATGGATAGAGGAGAGGATAGGTGGAGAGGAAACAAACAGATCGAAGAGGCGGGGATGGGTCCAGTAAAGGTGAGTGTGGGTGGGGAGTTAGGAAGGGGATAGGTCAGTCCAGGGAGGACGGACAGGTCAAGGGGGCGGGATGAGGTTGGTCGGTAGGAGATGGAGGTGCGGCTTGAGGTGGGAGGAGGGGATAGGTGGGAGGAAGAACAGGTTAGGGAGGCAGGGACGAGCTGGACTGGTTTTGGGATGCGGTAGGGGGAGAGGAGATTTTGAAACTTGTGAAATCCACATTGATACCATTGGGCTGCAGGGTTCCCAAGCGGAATATGAGTTGCTGTTCCTGCACCCTTCGGGTGGCATCGTTGTGGCACTGCAGGAGGCCTCGGATGGACATGTCGTCTGAGGAATGGGAGGGGGAGTTGAAATGGTTCGCGACTGGGAGGTGCAGTTGTTTATTGCGAACCGAGCGTAGGTGTTCTGCAAAGTGGTCCCCGAGCCTCCGCTTGGTTTCCCCGATGTAGCGGAAGCCACACCGGGTACAGCGGATGCAGTATACCACATTGGCAGATGTGCAGGTGAACATCTGCTTGATGTGGAAAGTCTTCTTGGGGCCTGGGATGGGGGTGAGGGAGGAGGTATGGGGGCAGGTGTAGCACTTCGTGCGGTTGCATGGAAAAGTTCCAGGTGTGGTGGAGCTGGAGGGGAGTGTGGAGCGGACAAGGGAGTCACGGAAAGAGTGGTCCCTCCGGAAAGCAGTTAAGGGTGGGGAGGGAAAGATGTCTTTGGTGGTGGGGTCGGATTGCAGATGGCAGAAGTGTCGGAGGATGATGCGTTGGATCCGGAGGTTGGTGGGGTGGTACGTGAGGACGAGGGGGATTCTTTTTTGGTTCTTATTGCGTGGACGGGGTGTGAGGGATGAGTT